GTTKGTTTATCTCTCTCTGCTAGTTTTAGTTGCTATGACTAAATACCTGAAAAAAAATCAAGCTAATTAAAGGAARAGGTTTATTCTGGCTCACAGTTTTAGAAGTTTCGGTCCATGTTTGCTTGGCCTTATTGTTTGGGGCCTATGGCAGCATAGTACACCATTGCAGGAACATGTGGCAGAGGAAGCCTATTCATCTCATGGTGGCCAGGAATCAGAGAGACCCAAAGGGGCAGAGGGCCCAATAATCACTTCAAGGGTATTTCCCCAGGGCCCTAGCTTCCTTCAACCAGGTACCACCTTTTAAAAGTTCCACCTCTTGCTAATAGCACCAGAGGCTGGACCACACCTTTAGCACATGGGCATTTGGATGATGTTTCAGATCCGAAGCGTAGCACTCTCCCTTCTGCAACCTGTGACTGTGCTTGTTTCCCCTCGCCCAACCAGATGCTTTTTCATCTTTGAAAACAATGGATGAAAAACTACTAGCTTTTTTTTTTTTTCCTTGTTTCAAATTGTCTTTCCCCTTCCCAGAATAGTGGTCTGGTACTGGYCTTCATGTCTCACACCTTAAAATTTCTTCTACAGTGATTTTTTATTTTCTTCTAAACTTTTCACCTCAAAAATCTTTCTAAGTTGGCAGAATGCACTCTCTGAATCCTGACTTTTCTGTGAATTCTATTTTCAGGTCTGAAAGTGCCAAACACCAGTCTCTCTGTCCTAGGATAAGGGAGCAAGTTCACTCTGTGAATATGATTTGATCCTGAATTCATTTGTTTTTTTAGTCACTTTACTGACCCTTAGATGTGTCCCTATCTCAAAACTACCCCTGTTTCTTTATTTCTTAAAATACCACCTCCATAGTGGTGTTTTACAAGATGATTAAGACAGCAGAAGACAACTGCAAATGGAATTTTAGACATTCTGCTCTCTGGAAGTCCATTGCTCTCTCCTCTGTGGGGCATTTTTACTGGTTCCTTTCTCTGCAAACTTTAGCCTCCTCACAACTTGTGTGCATTTCCCCTCCTGACACTTGTCTCTCCTCCCCTTTTCTTTGCCTCTGGTTTCTAGCCCCAAAGTTTTAGTGACTGCTATAGAGCTACACCTCCAGTCCTTCCCATGTCTTTGATTCGCAGTTTCCTTTGCTTTGAAGAGGCCTTACATAAGATGAAGAGGCTCTGGCAGTGACTTTCCTCAAAAATAAAGTTCTTTCCTTAAGAAGAACTCAACTGTTAAGAAATCAGTATTTTCCACATCTTGTTCCCATATCTTATCTTGGAGAACAATACCTAAACCAAACCCAGAAGCAGTTCATAGTGCAATCTGGCACACTATACAAGCCAGGTTCTGTGTACAAGTTAGTTAATAAGATGAAGAAAGCAGTTTAGCTTACTCATAGATAAWGGAACTGTTTATTAACCTTGTAGTTGTTTTTTTTTGTTTTGTTTTTTTTTTAGCTAACAGAAACTCATTATCCTGGAATATGGTAATTCAGTAGTTAATCTTAGGAATGCCTTAAATATTTAACCTATAAAGAGAATTGCTTGTCTCCTTTTCTTTGTTAAAAAGGAAATCAAYGTTTAATCAGGGAAATGTATTTTGGCTGACATGTTTCTCTGAGACTGTCTCACTGCTTTTTTGGTAATGAAACTGTCAAAAAAACAACGAGACTGAACTCAAAAGGGATTTACTGGGTTAAATTGCCTATTGTCATTTGGGTATTATGACAGAAGACAAGCCTGGACTTATGTTTCCCAGAGTCCCCTTTTTATATGTGAAGTTGACCAGGTGGAAGCCTTCCCGGAAGACATGGAAAACTGAAAACAGAGACACTATTACTCATAGCCAGGATCAGTGCCAGTCAGTGTGTGAGCCAAAGCCAGCATGTGGCTTAGTGTCCACTGGCCCTCAAGCTCAGGAATCATTCCCTCCCAAGCTATAGGCCCAGAGAGACTACATGTGCCTTCCAGATATCTTTGCTTCTGGGTAGGCTCTGGAGAATCACTTGGTTTGTTTCCATATGGCAGGAAGATAGTGTTGGCTTCTCTAGCTTTAACATCCCAGGAAATGCAAGGGTTATGTAAGCCTTTAATCTTTAGCTTGGAATACATTCATGTACTGCATAATGGCATTCAGTTTCACCATGGGCTGCATATATGATGGTGCCTATGTCATAGAGCCTAGGTGTGCGATAGGCAATACCATCTAGGTGTGATTAGGTGCACACCTAGATGAAATCACCCAACAGTGCATTGCTCAGCAGATCCCTATTATTAGTGACACATGACTACATATAAAATCTTTTCTCTTTTCCAGATAAAACCCTGTCTGGTATCTTGTGGGGTTTATAACAAATGTCAAAGTTAATTGTGTAATAACAATACAAAGTTCATGAAAGAGGAAATCCAAGAATACTATTGCAAGGTTCTTACATATGTTGTGTTGTAATATTACTTTAAGGAAGACTGTGATAAGTAAAGAGTAAAGTATATACAATAAAAAATCCTTTAAGTGGCCTCTTAAAAAATTACAGTTCTTTTTTTGTAAGTAACCAAAAAATGAGATATAATAGAATCATAAGAAGTACTCTGTTAATCTAAAAAAGGGCAGAAGAAGGGGGAGGAAAGAACAGATTGGCAATTTGACAAATTAGCAAGATTTGGATTGGATTTAGATTGAAACCCAACCATATCAATGATCCAAATTTAATTGTCAAAACACCTTAGCTAAAAGGTGGAGATTGTTATAGTGAATTAAAATGCAAGACCTGAATATATGCTACCTATAATAAACCCACTTTAGATGTAAAAACACATTTTAAAAGTAAAAGGATGGGGGAAATGTACCATGTTAATACTATTCAATGAAAATTGGGAATGATTGTTAATATCAGACAAAAAATTATCAGGATATAATAATATAAAAATTATCAAGAATGAAAATAGTCATTATAGAATGATAGAGTCAATTAATCAAGAGATATAGCAACCATCCTAAACAAATAAATATCTAATAATAGAGCTTCAAAATATGTGGGTCAAAACTGATAGAACTGAAAGAATAACTACCCAGATCTACAAGACAATTATGTTCATAGGTTTTGCTGCCCCTCAATAATTGATAGAACAAGTAGAGAATCAGGAATATAGAAGACCTGAACAATGCAGTTAGCCAGCTTGATCCAACAGGCTTATAGAGCACTCCTCCAAACATTAGCAGAAAAAGAATGTTCTTTTCAAGTGTGCCCTAAACATTACCAAGAATGTTAGTTAAGCTTTCCATTACTATAACATATCCAGAATAAATAAATCAGCTCATAGAGTTAGTCAGCTCTCCATCACTGTGACACAGTACCTTAGAAAAACAAAGGAGGAAAGGATTATTTTAGCTCATGGTTTCAGAGAGTTCGATCCATGTTCACTTGGCTCCATTGTTTCTGAGCCTGTGGCAAGGCAGAACATTCCAGTGGGGAGCATGTGGCAGRGCAAAGATCCTTACCTCATGGTGGCCAGGAATCAGAAAGAAAAAAAGGGAAAGCAATGGGCCAGGGACAAGCTATACCCTTCAAAGGTATACCTTCAGTGACCTCCTTTCTCCAACCAGGCCCCACTTCCTAAAGTTTCCACCACTTCTCAATAATGTCACCAGCTGGGGACCAATTCTTCAACATATAAGCCTTTGCGGCACGTTCCAGATTCAAACTACAACAAAGAGAAAAGGGTTAYTTGGGTTCGCAGTATTGGAGCTTCAGTCCATGATCAGTTGGCCCTGTTGCCTCTGGGTCTGTGTCAAGGCCACATCCCACGGCAGGGAGCACAGGGCAGAGCAGAGCTCTTCACTTCCCAGCCAGGATGTGAAGAGAGAGAGAGGAAGAGACAAGGGTCCCTTAAGGGACCACCCCCAGGGAAGAGCTCCCGCTAGGCCCCRTCACTTACAGTTTTCAGCACCTCCCGGTAGTGAAGACCAAACTGGGAACTAAGAGTTTAACACATGGCCCTTTGAGAGACATTCTAGAGCCACACTCCAGCACCAAGATAGACCATCTCCTGGGTCCTAAAAAATATCTCAGTAAATTTAAAAGGACTCAAATCATTTAAAGAATGGTCTCTGACCACAATGGAATTAAATAAAAAACAATAGGACAACATCTAGAAAAACTCCAGAYATTCGGAAGGACTCTTGAACTAAGACTAAAGCAGTAGGCACCAGGAAGAGGAGAAGAATGAGTGGAGAGTGGTGACATGTGGATCTCAAAGGTGAGGAAAGGGGCCCGTCTGAAGTGACATCCATGTGTCCACGCTCAGACATTCAAGAACTGGGTTCAAGGAATGTGTATTTTTATTAGAGATCGTTTTTAATCAGTTTGTATTATATTAATTTGCTCTATAATATTAAAAAGTGGACTTGACACTTTTCAATAATAAATCTACATACAGCTTCCAGCAGTATACCTAAGAGATCTTAAAGTAGGTCTTAAAAATCTACAGTAGAGTTGGTTGGAACTCAGGRGACAATGAGGGGTTAAACCCTGTGGGACCTGAATCTAAGTCAGGTGACAAGTCACGTCTTGCCCTTTTGCCCCCATCTCCCAGTGTCTTACTAAGCATCTATAGCCTCTGAATGACTTCCAGATAATCAGGTTCTCATATTCAGGGAGGACAGAGACTTAGTGACTTAAAGTGGAAAACTGCCTCCTCATTGAAGAGGTGGCAGTAAGAAGGCAGAGCCAAATGGAAGCCTTTCTGTTGGGTGTTCACAAAGTTTTCAACACATAGTTGAAGCCACCTCAGAAAAAAATGTTTGTTTTGGGTGGAGCTGACTTATCACTGAACCCACATTTCCAGGAGTGTCTTATCCCACCCTGAGAGTTGTGGCTTCTTAGGTTTCCGGGGTTGGCAGCTTTACTTGCTTGTCAGGACCCTGACTGGTCCTTTATTTTGCTGTTCTCTGATAGATGCCTGGAATGTCTTCAAACTCTACCTCGATCCCTTGTGTTTCAGCCCGAGAAGAAATTTGGCGTGGTGGTGGTTGGTGTTGGCAGAGCTGGCTCTGTCAGGATGAGGGACTTGCGGAATCCACATCCTTCCTCAGCGTTTCTGAACTTGATCGGTTTCGTGTCCAGGTGACTCACGCTTGCTTTGTGCCTCATAATTTGTAGAAAGCACAGTGAGAGATGAGGCCACAGCATGTGCTGCAGATTTCCCAGAAGGAAAAGAAGGAAAGAGAGAGCCAGCCCCCACCCCCAACCAAGAGAACCATGTCAGCTCCACAGGGTCTAGAGTTTGGGTGGGTAGAGAACCGAAGAGTGCTGGGTTTGCAGTTGGGACATGCAGTGAGTAGGTGCCTCATGAGGACTGCAAAGACAGAGAATATGAGCACAGGTCTCCATTACTCAAGGGACACAGTGAACACACGGTAGGTTTGTCCCAAAAAGGCTTTAGGTGTATGCTAATTGATCATTCCATCAGTCATCAGATGGTGGCCCTGAGCTTTTCTTACATTATTTTATTCTAAGTACAATTCAATCTCAGTTTACAGATAAGGAAACTGAGTCCCAGAAAGTCTGAGTAATTTGCCTGAGATCACAGCTAGAAAATCTTAAGAGCTAGATTTGAATGCAAGTCTGTTTGATTCCAAAGCCCATCTTCTAAACACTGTGTGTTCTTTTCCCATTGATAATTTGGAGGCCCACTTTTCTTAAGGATTCATTTATTTCCTGTAACACAATGGAAAGCATACTTAACATCTTACCACCTTTTGAGTGTGGGTCAGGGAAGTTTCTTCTCAAATCTTCCCCCTACACACATACTACTCAGCAAGATAATCCTGTGTAACATCATTTATCAATACAATTTTAAATTAGATCCAGACACTGGGCTAAGCAAGGAGACATGGCAACAATTTATGCAAATCTCTATTTCTAGTGCTTTAGAAGCATAAGTAATTATTGTGGTGGTCCATGCAGAGATTTTCTCATTTTAATTCATGGGATCATTTTCTTCCAGTCTGCCTGTCTTAAAACTATATTAAAATAGCTGCCATTCTGACTGGAGTGAGATGAAGTTTTAGAGTGGTTTTGATTTGCATTTCTCTAATTGCTAGCGATGATGAACATTTTTTCATATATTTGTTAATTGATTGTATATGATCTTCTGAGAAGTGTCTGTTCAGGTCCTTGGCCCATTTATTGATTGGATTATTTGGTTTTTGGTGCTTAGCTTTATATATATATTTTATTAGTTGTTGATGAAGTTTTAAATTTTATTTATTTATTGGTATGAGGTTCTAGAATCGAACCCATTTTCGTGCCTCGCACATGCTAGACAAGCACTCTACCACTAAGCCACAATCCCAGCCCTGGTGCTTAGCTTTTTGAGTTCTTTATATACCCTAGAGATTAGTGCTCTATCTGATGTGTGAGAGGTAAAGATTTGCTCCCAAGATGTAGGCTCTCTATTCATCTCATGGATTGTTTCTTTTGCTGAGAAGAAACTTTTTAGTTTGAGTCCACCCCATTTATT